TCAAAGCGTGGCAGTCGTCCAGGTCTGGTTAATATATATATGTATATATTATTCGAATTTTGATGAAAATGCTATATGTTTTGGACGTAGGTGTTGGCGCGAATCAAGCGCGACGGGTTGCCCTGGGATCATGAATTTGAAGTAATATATATCGATAGGAGGAGTGCGGTCGAACGTTGTTGGCGATGGCCGCGATGCGAGGAAATGTCGAGATCGTGCAGGAAGCTGCCTTTTTTGTCCTCGTTTGAATCATCGACTCGAACGATAGTCCTGAACGGATCTTAGACACGCTTTTGTATCTTTGTTGTCGGTTTCATTCTAGGTAACATGACCATGCTTTTCAAAACTGCCATAACATCTTTCGCTACGACTCGTGTTCGGGTCAAACGTCGCTCGCGGACTAATTCTACAATGAGACGTAGCACTGCTTTTGTCTTTGGAACTCGAGATGTATGAGTAGAATTGTTAGCAGGTTGTTGTTTGACTACTGTAGAAGTACTTTTGTATCTCTATATTGCTTCCATACCTCATGAACGACCTTTTTACTCCGTCCAAGGATTGATGCAATGTGTTCGGATGCGGAATCAACATTTTCACGTCGAAAGTGTGCGTGCAACCGAAGTATCTGTAATCGTTCTTCTTTTGTTAGTGCTCGTGGTCATTTTTCACGTACGACGTGATCTCATCGTACTCGTCGTCTGTGATGGTCGAGTTGGGAGGCATGTCAAAGTGAAACTGGTGGCGTGCACCACCTGTGTGATTATCCGGATACATTAGCGACGAGAGGTTCGGAAATGGATGGTGAGGTGAAACTCTACTTTTGGCAATATATTAGATTTAATGTGTAAATTTGGACCTGAACTAAATTCTTTTTCATGCAAACTCGAAGGGAATTAAATTTCAGGTGAAAATTACTGTAAGCTTAGAGGCGGAATCTCCGTGAAAAACTGCATCGATGTGTGTAATCTGGTCATCCGAAATTCCCAAAAACGTAAAAATTGTCGTAGTGACCCCTGGATCGTCTCGTCGACTGTCAGCTATATAGTTATGTGTACTTGCATAGTGAGCGGTGAAATATACTTCGAAGATTCTGTTTAGAGTCATTATTACTTTTCGAGCAACTGAGCAAATACAGCTAACATACATGGGTCAAATTTCTCGCCCCTTTGTTGCCCTTTAAGTTTTTGGGCCTCAATGCAGCATCACGTTTCTCCATTCGTATGATAAATTCCATCAATGCAGTACCATTGACACCTGACTCCATGCGTTGACGCCAACGTACTCAGCAAGTCGTCGATTTTGTGTCTTCTGGCCGCGGTTTGCTTGGTCGCTGGCTCTGACCCATGCGTTTGACCCAATGCAATCGCGTCAAACCCGTTCGCTGTGTTGCCACAGCATTAGTTGCAACGGGCGAATCCACGACAACGTCTGGCGTATCATTGGAATGGTCAGAGCAGTTGGTGGTGTTTTCGTCACAATGGTCATTGCAAATGCGCGCTTGTAGGTCAAACACACCCATGAAAGCTTCGATGGCTTGTTGGAGTCTCTTTGCACTATACACATTTTTGGTGTCAGGTATCTCGCCAACCTCCGGCATCGCTATCACACTACTACATTCCCCTACGCGCGGCTTGAGGTGCTCAAAACTCGTTGTCAGTCGATTTTGAAAGTCTCCCCGTGGGATACTTTCCAGGGCAAACTTTGGAACGTTATACTCCGGAGTATACGTATGCACATACTATACGTAGTAGTTCTGCAAGGGTAAAACCGATCATGTGGGAAAAGGAAGCCAGGTGACTACATCTAAGCTTAGTGTATATTGATGTCCCTACTACTGTACTTACTACCCTAACGTTAGTGATCCAACCCCAACAAAACTACACCCTTCGAATGAACGTTAACGTTATAGTCAGGATTCATGCTTTTATGTTGTCGTCCTACGTCTAGGCCTTGACGGGCTTGATGCTCCACTTTTGATTGGCCTCGGTTTTGTAACACGACCACAAGTGCACGAGTCCGTTAGCGTTGTCGGGGCCATCGAGGCAAAACCCAATATGCGTTGCATGGTGGATCTGACCCGTGATGTCATTCACGACCCACTTCTGGTTGACGTTGGTGGCATTGCAAGAGTACAAGTGCACAACGCCGTAGTTCTTGCGCTCGTACGCGTCCAAGCACATGCCGCGGTGCGACTTGCTCGCAATGAGCTGGGTCACGGGGTCATAGAACCACTGGTGGCAGTCGGCGTTGTCCTTGCGGGACGTTTCCCACGTCACTTTGCCGAACCACTCAGTCAGCACGCCGCCGTTCGTTTTGATGCCAATCTCAAGGGGCTCGTCGGCCGCCGGGACCATCGAGATCAGCTGGTTCTGGTGCCCATTGCACCGGTACATCGCGACCACGAGGTTCCCGTCGGGGGTTTTTGAGCGCTTCACATCCACGTCGATGCAAAAGTTGGCGTCGTTCTGGCTCGCAATGTTACCGTTGGCGACGCTCCACTTTTGGTTGTGGTTCACTTTCGAGCAGTCGTACGTGTGCAGAGTCTGCGTGTTGAGGTCCCCATACGAGTCCAAGCACTGATTCGAGCTCTTGGAGTACAAGATGCTGGACGCGGCATCCCACAGCCAGATCTCGTCGTCCAAGACGCCCAATGGACCGACGGACGGCTTCGCAGCATACACGCTGCCAAAATTCTCGTTGACCGAGTCGTCATCGGCGTTCCAGTAGCGGTGCGCCTTGATCACGTTGTCTCCGGCCCAGAGGCGGACCGCTTGGAGCGGCGCGCCGACGTGGACGGCCTCCACCTCTGGCTTCATCTCGCGGTCAGCGTTGTAAATGCCAAAGTTGCGTTCAATCTCGGTGGGATTGAACGGCAAATCGAATGCGCCATAGTAGAACGCATTGAGGTTCTGGCGCGCCGCCAGGGTGAGGAAGTCCTGTGTGAACACGCCTTGGGCCTGGGGAGAAGCCTCCCTGACCTTGGGGCTCTCACCCGCTGTGCTCCAGCCGGTCTCGTGCAGCAAGATGAGCTTGCCGGCGCGCTTGGCGCGGGTCTCTTGTTCCTGGAAGCGCTTGAACGTAAAGTGCGCGCCTTCTTTCGCCGTCTTGTTCTCCCGGAACGAAAACTGGTTCACAGAGACCACGTCCACCTCGTCGTACAACTCGGGGAACCTCGTGTACATGTCCATGTTGTCAGAGATCACGACGGGGAACGTTAAGTCGTGGTCGCGGAGGTAGCTTCGCACTTTGTTGAGGTAGCCGACGACGGTGTCGATGCCACGGCGGTCGCTGCCCGGACCTAGTACGTAGTACCGGTACAAGGCTTCGCTCGACACTTGGATGCCGAGGATGTTGTCGTTGTTGATCAAATCGGTATGACTCATGAGATCCTTCAAGGCCTGATATTGCAACGAGAACGTGTCCAACACTTCGTCCGTGCGGACCTCGCTCCATAGGCCGAGCCAGACCTTGAGCCCCTTCTTGCCGGCGGCTTCGATCACGCTCTTGGCGCATTCAAATTCCGTCCCGTAGATGCGGACGTTGTTGGTGACATTCTTGAGGATATTGAAGTCATCGTCGATCGTTTTGAATTCCTTGCACCCACCCCACCGATGGGTACGGACGTCGTAGTTGATGCCGTAGAACTTGGCGTCCAACGCCGCCACGGATGAGGCGGCGAACGCGGCAGCGATAGCAAACGACGATAATAATTTCATTGGAGAAAATTGGGAAATGCACGACTTGGCCTCGCCAACTCTTTCGGCCAAGCGTGGAAGCCATCCATGGCTTCTACGCTTGGCCGAAAGAGTTGTCTACGCATGCTGTTCGAAGCTATCGCATACTAAGATTTATCGCATCGGCCAAGATTCTAAATTTCATTATTACTACTTATGTTAGTAGTATACAGGATAGATTTCAGCATATTATTTGAAGAAATTAAATAAACAATCCGAAATAGTACAAAAACAACGGCTTGGTCTGGGAGATGCGGGATCACGACAAAAACACATCACAATAAATAACTAAAGGTCCTTGATTCCTTCAAATCATGGTGCACCATTGGGAGACTTCCAAAACCGTCGCAAACTTCTTTGAGTCGATGATTTTCATCCGGAATTATAATTCAATGTACTTCTTTGCTGAGACGACGAGTCTCACCCGTACTTCTTTGCTGAGACGAGTGTCAAGAAGTACGGGTGAATTGAATTATAATTCCGGATGAAAATCATCGACTCAAAGAAGTTTGCGACGGTTAACGACGGAAATAATTGCCAAGTGATCTCTTCAAATATCTAGCAATTTGTATCATCAATACTATTTTGCAAATCGAGTACTACTCTGTATTTTAATTGTAACCTGCATCGAAGTGTCACAGAAATGACGTCGGATTGGCCAATTTTCAACCAATTGGAGACTTCAAAACTAAACGACGACGACGACGGCAAAAGTGTCAAAATATCAAATCAATTTCGTCGGCCAAAATACCGTAAAACACACACCCATTGAAATCACACGCACTAACGTAAAGGTACATACTGTACATGGATTTAACATGCCTTTCATAAGCCGTGATGTTATCGTTGACATCGAGCTCTAATGTTGCACGCATCTTGATCTCCTCCTGGCAGAACTGACGGCTTTTGTTATAACCTTGTATTCGCTGTGCACGTGCACTACAGTACTACGTACTACACCATTTTGCGTTTAATTCCAGCTTATTTTCGATATATTTCCACCAACCTCCGATATATTTCACCGAATCGCCAATATAATTCACCCAACCTCCATTATATTTCACGCCAACGTAAAATATCGCCGTTATATTTCACCCAACCTGCGTTATAATTCACCCAACCTACGGTTAATTCCAACTTTCGAAAATATAAATCACCTAACAATCATTATAATTCGAGCTGGGAATCTAGAAATTCGAAGCGCGCGAAGAGTTTCGCGCGCTTTCACCATTTTTGAATCTGAGCTCGATGGAAGAGGCCATCCCTGCACCACAAACTCCGGCACGTCTCTCTGTTGACCGCTAACATGACGTGTCAAGACGCTTCGTTCTTAAAACTAGGGCCGTACTCCCCGATGTTGAACCCGATCGAGAATATGTGGCCGGCGTTGAAGAGCCGCATTAAGACATCTTTGCCCGAACGAGTCGCGGCCTTTATGGGGCCACCGCCAGACGGACAGACTTAAAAGATGTAACTCAACAATGAATTAGGAATTGAGCCGAATCGTTTGCATGTGTACACGGCCCGCCTTGAACTGTTCTATGTCCGCGCTGACATTATGAAAGACATGGATGTTGGTGCTTGAGCCGTAGATGTCGTAGATATGTTGCGTGGGTTGGTTTTAATTTACTTTCCATGAAATATACCGGTGGTCAGGTGAAATACATTTTCGAAAGGTGAAATTAAGTGTTGGTTGGGTGAATTATATCGGAGGTTGGGTGAAATATAATGGCCAAATTTCAATAAATATAATGGAGGTTGGGTGAATTATATTGGCGATTCGGTGAAATATATCGGAGGTTAGTGGAAATATTTTGAAAAAAAGCTGAAATTAAACGCAAAATGGTGTAGTACTCGGTATACAGTACAGTACTGATACCGGTTCCTTCATCTGATGTTCTAGAAAGGTACTATTTCTGTCCTTCTCAACAACAGCCCAGTACTTGAATTAATTTGCATGCTATATATTTCGACCAAGGAAGGTTAAAATATGTTCGATATGATTTCACTTACAAACTACAAGATCAAATGACCATTGATTTGGGTGTCAGCTATTTTAACTTCAAGTACCCACGGATAGATATTTAAACTTGGATAGGTATTGCATGCCTATCTGATATTGTACTGTACTAGTACCACTTATCACCGCGATCTGACACCTTGTCTACCGGTAGCCAATTAGAGGCCTCAATGATCTGAAGAGCTTCCCAGTAATTACGGTGCCGGACCGGTACTGTACTCGTAATCTCTTCAATATAGTTACTTAAGTTTGTACCCATATGATAAGTATGCACTGATTGACCCTTTGCTGACTTCTCGCGCAGATTCTATTGATGCGATTGTCTCGATTGTTTGAGTACAGTAAGCTTACGTATAGTGTTCTATAATCTACATTAAACAGTCAATCGTTGAGCATTTGGTAACTGGGGGCGAGTATACGTCACTTACAATTAATTACTTGTTTCTGGATATTATGAACACACGGCTGGTCGTGATACAGAATAATTGCCATTTTCTATTATTTGTTGAAACGAACTTGACATTACATCATGCGTACCGTCGTGGTGCAAACAGTCACCCATTGGCTAGAATGTGTGAAATTATCCACATTTCAAGTGATGGCGTTTGGATATTAATATTCCGAAATTCTGCGCAGTACCACTTGGCAATTATTTCCGTCGTTATCTGTACGCACGCAAGGCGACTCAAATTATAACTTACAAAATTTATACCATACTATAAACAAATACAGTACCTTCATTGTGTTTGATCAAGTGGTGTTGCTGGCGCAGGTTGACGGGGACTCGGACGCCGACGATGACCAAGCGCACGGATGGCACCCAAGGAGCGTCATTACTTGACCTCGCCATCCCTCATCGCAAACAAACGAACCCGTGGACAGCCATGTACGCCGCCCGCGACCGAAGCTCGTTCATCACGTGACGTGATGAACGGCGGCGTACATGCTTGATCCCGACACGTTTGACCTCTTGCTCGCCTTCTTAAGCACTACTCAGTTCACCATCTCAATGGAAGTGGAGGAAGACCACCAAAGATCAACAGTATCAACGAAGCACTTTTAAACTGTCCCGTGCACCATAAACTGGCCATCTACGTTAATACATGAAATTAATATTACTTAGCCCGTCACGGCCATGTGGTAGTAGTCCGAGCCTTGCTGGATGTGTCGGCCGATGTGACCATTGTCCACAACGTAATAATATATATATAACGTTATACATAATATTTTGAGATATATATATATATATACATAATATTTTGAGATTGTATCTAGATCGACCAAGGCCCGCTGATTGCCGGGTTGATCACTTTTCCCGCCTGCATTCACGTCATAGATGCCGTACGATATAGTAGTATCGCAAATATCATAATATTTTGATAATTATTAAACTCTGAGATATTTCTAGGAAGGTCGAACGGCGCTGGATGTGGGCAAGAACTTGAAAACGACCGTGGCGACGGATATGAATCAAAGCGTGGCCGTCGTCCAGGTCTGTTTAATATATATATGTATATATTATTCGAATTTTGATGAAAATGCAATATGTTTTGTGTTGCCCTGGGATCATGAATTCGATGTAATATGTATATACTACCATGAATTTGATGTAATATATATCGATAGGAGTGCGGTCGAACGTTGTTGGCGATGGCCGCGATGCGAGGAAATGTCGAGATCGTGCAGGAAGCTCTTGACCACGGTGCTAAAGTCAACGCTCCAGACGACGTAAGTGAGTTTCTCCGAATTTTGAAATGGTTCGGGGTTTCGGGGTTTGTTTTGATTGGTCCACCGTAGATGGGCAACTCTCCGTTGCACTTGGCCGTCATGAACGGGATGGTGAGGGTCGTGCGACGCTTGGCGTCTCTACCCAAGTGCCAACTCTCGACTCGAACGGTACACGATCTAGAGTGGCTGTAGGTAGAGAGGGAATTAAAAGTTATGGCCGTGAGAGATTGACAGTTACCGTCAGCATGGTGGAATGTCAGTTTCTAAGTTGTAAGCTTTTGTCGAGTGTCACCGGTTGCTACACACCTGTTGTCGACCATCGATCAAGTCTCCGTATCCGTGGGTACGACCCTGTGACAGATACCCCCCCTTCTATATATATATGTACTAGTATATATTGTCCATGGTACAATATTGTAGAAGACATGAACAAATGATCGAAATATATATACTATATATATATTGCCCATGTTGCAATTTTGTAGAAAACATGAACGAATGATCGAAACACATATATATATTTCCCATGGTACAAATTTGTAGAAAACATGAACAAATGATCGATATATATATATATATATGTATATTTCAATCATTTGCTCATATGTATTGCCCATGGTACAATATGTCTTGTAGACCCACCAAGACGACACGAGTTGGAAACAATAGGGAGATTTCGCAAAGTAATCCGTGTCCGTTTCCGTAATAATTACCCTCAGTAATTAGTACAATCACGGAAACTGATGAAACTTTATAGCGGAATCCGTGAAAAGAGCAGCAATCACGGATTTGGATAATCCAAAAAAATAGAGGTTATCCGAACAGGAGGGTTCCATTCGATGGTTTCGTGTGCTACATACAGTACATTGTATGAGCAGGTTGAGAAGCGAGGAGGGGGGGATGACTTGGCGCTGTGGATAAAGGCCAACCACGAGCGACCATTCCTCCAACATCTGGTCAGAAGTCTTGGGGGGTGCTCGCGTGCAACTTGCTTAAAGTTCCTGGCTTCTCTTGCCAAGATCGACGTTGACAGCAAGAAAACATCGCACAGGTTCCACCTGATCCTCGACAACCACGAAAAGTTCCAGAAGGATTCTGTGTATTTGGATGGTGTTGACCGACGGTAGGAATGTGCGAGCAGAAGTCTGCGATGACGGGCAGGCCTCGCGAAGCAAGAACGCTTGGGGACAGCATTATTGCAAAGTAACGTTAGCAGATTCCTTATGTTTATTCCGGACGCGGAAATCTATTTATACAGCGAAATCGTCTAACAGTAAATTTACAGTTAATCCGTGTCCGTGGTCGTGTCCGTGTCTTTTTTCTCACGGACGCGAACACGGATTGAATTGCGAAATCTCCCTAATGGTTTTGTGATTTGGACGTGGATACATCGGGTGGGATTGGTCGTGAAGCGGTTTTACCAACTTGTCAGCGACAACAACGTTGGTGGTTATCAAGATGATGAAACATCGCGACGAGTACGCCAACGAAGTGCGCTGTCGGCGGTTCCTGGACGGACAGTTTGTGGTGGGCTTGCTGCCATCGCCTCCCGCCGCCATGATGGCCCACCACGCGACGAAGCTCACCTTGGGACACGAGTATCCGCATATGGTGGAAGGTTCTGCCATATGCAGATCGGAGTTTGGAGCAGGTGTATGCGAACGAGCGACCGAGTGAGTGCCAATCACGTCCGATGGCTGCTCGAGGCGGTGGTCACTGCGTTAAAGCACGTACATGACCATGGACTGGTGCATGGAGATGTGAAGAAATCCAACGTCGTGCGAATTCAGGACGGCCAGTTCAAGTTGATCGATTTGGATGCGACCGTGGCTTTTGGCCACCCGTTGGGGGCTGCCACCAGGTAGGTGTGACTACATAGATGTTGGATCTGTTTGATGTATTGTGAATTCGTTATATAATTTAGAAAATATTGAATTATCACGGTGGAGTTTTGATTCTTGGTCGCATATTCTTGTCCTTACTGTAAGAGCCAATCAAATATCTACTCCAAAATGGATTAGCCAATAGCGTCGATTCGACGGGGTTAGAACGTTGTATCGAATCCACAATATATATTGTCCTTTTATTGTGCTTTCCAGTGAAATTTCGTGGTTTCTCGTTGGAATTTAAATCGATTTGATTGGCTACCTCAGATGAGCTCAAAATTATTAGCCAATCAAAACCCTCTCAATGAAATTCAACCAATCAGATCGATTGTATATCGGTTTCATTCGATTGCACTCCCTCCCCAAATTTGTATCAAATCGACAATATCATTTATATTACAGTTAACTTAAGTTACACACACGATTTTAATCTTGAATTGGTCGAAGATTGATTGACTCGTGTTCTCGAGTTTTGATTGGTCGGTCATCGATATAGTCGGCCGATCTGCTCATATTCGACGATTGAGCCCTACTGTTTCGAATGATTATTCGATTTGACAAGAATAAATAATACTATGAGTGATGGTTGCATATATATTTTAGCGTAATAGAAATGTCTTATAAACTCGAAACCGACGACGAACGACAAGTGGACGCGTACTGGCAGCAGGTAGGCGGGTCGTTCAACACGAGTGTCCAACACCCGTCGACACGACGACGAGTATATGGTCAAAGCATTTAGCTCTCACCAACATCCACATCAAGCACTGCCATATGACCTCGTGCGGGCGACGCCGGAGGTGGATATATGGGCGTTGGATGTATGATGTTTGAGATGATTTCAGGGCTGCAACTGGTCGCGACAGACATCGCCGGCGAAGTTACGTGAAAGTGGCAAAACAACGGGGGCAGATGCGCAGCTGAGTGCGCGAGTGCGGGCCCACGTCCGAGGGGACAAGGCGCACGAGTTGCTCTGCCACTTGCTTCGAGTGAATCCCGCGGAGAGGGGGACTGCCGACCAAGTGCTAAGCCATGCTTTCTTTGACCAACGAGATGAAAACCTTAGTCTAGTATCGGGAACAGTTCAAACCATCCTACGCACCCAGCAACGGCGCAGACAATGATGGACGCAGCAGCCCAACAAGTCTCGACGTTCGAGTCAAGTCAGTTGGTCGCCACCGTGCAAGTGGTCGGCCGGGCTGTTGTCGATGCCATGTTCACTCGCGACTCGGACACTTCACGTTGAAGAAAATACGAGGTTGCTGTGCCACTACTACGTACAGTACAGTACAGTACCCACGATAACTTTTTCAATAGGTATATGCATGCTGTAGTAGTAGTACGCACACAAGTGTTCATAGTAATCTTATGTATCGAACTGCTGTCATACAACTCGATTAAGTACCGCCCTTATTGTACGTTACGTTAGTGGTTGAATAATGGCTAGTTTAACCCACGAATGTACGTACGATCTTAGCCATTTACTCTTGTTGGTGTTGTTAAAAGCAAGTGATGTCTCCGTCTAGGACGAAGTACTGGTTGCCTTCTTGACGGTATTTTTATAGCCTTCAAACCCAACCACTTCGAATCAAGATGACCAATGATATTACAGTACTCAAAATATACTAATTAATTTTAATCATAGATTAGGATAGTTTGGCCTAACAAAGTGTATGTCGACGTTTTGACATATGTCCATAACAGGTGGGCGATCGCCTTGCGGAATTTACGCATGTGACAAGCAAGTCCAATAATGGTACAGTATGTGACCAATAATGGTACAGTATGTGAACGCTGTCACGTTAGAATGTAATTCACGTGCGAGTAGTTCCAGCCCTATGAATAGCTGAGACTACGACGCAGTCACGCGCTTTTGTAAAGACCCCTCAGCTACGTACAGTACATCCCCCCATATATCCTTTCCCCCCCCTCCCTTTGATCAAATCACAACCTTCCTTTGTCTTCACTTCGACTATAATTACATCTATTGCCACTTCACTCACACCTTCTATTACTCCATCTAGTCGACTCTGGTCAAGTCGTCAACCCCCCGTCGACACGCAGCCACGATGTCTGTCATACTCGGTCGCAGCTCTGGATCTTCCTGAAAGCACTGCGCCATGAGGCATTGCATCGCGTTTGGAATGTCTGACGAGTGAATGTCGAGGCACCGCCCGCCTTCGAGCACGTACGCGGCGGCTTCTGGCGCGGTCATCATCGCAAACGGCTTTTTCTCAGCAAATGTTTCCCACACCAGCACCCCAAACGCAAACGCGTCCGACTTTGTGGAAAACACGTGCGGCGGCTGGAGCGACTCGGGCGCCATGTACTTGAGCGGGCCGACGCCGTGCTCAAAATGCGACGACGTTTCGTTGGCCTTGTGGACTCGCCGACACAAGCCAAAGTCGCACACTTTGGCACGAAGCGCGCCGTCCACCAGACAATTCCGCGCGGCAATGTCTCGATGGATGAACCCCCCTTCGTGCATGTTGAGGAGCCCCGCGGCGGCATCGCCGACGATCCGGGTCTTTTGACTGGCAGACAGCTGCCGCTTGAACTGGTCTTCAATCGTTCCAAATGGCAAATACTCGGTCACCAACGCCAGCGTCGACGACGGATCGGTCGACGCACCGACAAACGGAACAATGTGCGGGTGGTGCCCAAACATGGATAACACCGCGGCTTCGTGGCGGAATTCAGACACGATTTGGTCCGCCGAGTCGCCTCCAAGGGCGCTAGCTCGGATTGTTTTTACCACGACCTACATAGGAATTATATATATATATATACGCAGGAGAATATTATTTATAGCCAAGAATCGGATTCACAGAATGCATCGACATCAACACGACAGGCATCTGTCTCCACTGGTCAATCAAGTTTTTTTACATACAAAATTTCAGTACAATATCGATTTGATACTTTGAGCACACAAAAGTCCAACTTTTGGTTGAAACGATAATATAAATAAATGGATGCCGTGAGAGCATGTAGATTGTGGTGTGTTGACCATCGAACTTTACGATACCATAGCAACCATGCACGGAATGCTAGTGTGAAAAGCAAAAAGAAGTCACATATACTGTGCTTTCGAGTGAAATTTCATTGTGTTGTGGTTTCTCGTTGGAATTTAAATCGATATGATTGGCTACTTCAGATGAGCTCAAAATTATTAGCCAATCAAAACCTTCTCAATGAAATTCAACCAATCAGATCGATTGTGGATCGGTTTGGTCGGCGCGATTCGATTGCACACCCTCCCCAAATTTGTACTATCAAATCGACAATATATTTGCGAACATAAACGTCACATTGCACAAAAGTAGTATGGCGAGATAGATATACGTTGGATGAAATATATAACATCACATTGCACATATGGAGAGACACGGGTAATAAATGTTTTGTGCCGCCTCTCAATAACATAGCGGCACAAAACCAACACACCATTTAAAAATAAATAAAAGTACGCAATATGCATGTGGATATTTACACACATATATATATTATATATATATAGAGAGAAAGATATACCTGCTTGCCGTGGTAGTCTGCCCGAAATGCATCTCCAAAATGGCCTCGACCAACCAACTCGTGGATGGACAAGTCGTGAAACGGAATTTCGGCAAACGTTTTCGGCAGCACTTCGAGTTTGCACTCGAGTTCCGTCACATTCTGGGCATAGTTCTCCCAGGAAATCTGGCTCGCAGAGACCGATATATACGACCGCAATACAAGCACTTCCGTGCCGACCACAATTGTGGCCTTAAACAGCACTTGGCCGATCTTGGCACTTGACGTACACAAGACGTTGTACCGTACACTTGACACTGCTCCCGTCCACGTCAGCACTTGCGTCGGCTCCGATTCATTTTGAAACCCGCTGCTTGGCAGTTCTAGGGTTACGTGAGCCAAGGCCCCTCTTCGAACCCGAAGAAGCAGCTCGCGCGACACTTGTCTGGCGGACGCGTCGGCCGCCATCGCCTCCTCCACCGCCTCGTCGCGCTGGTGAGCCAGGAACGCCCAAATGCTAAACTTGAACGGCATGTCCCGGCTCACCGTGGGCGGCCCAAATGACTGAAAGTGCACAGGGTCTACTTCAACTTGATCTGATACAAAGGACGCAGCGGTAGCACTGCGAAACGTAGGGGCGATTGCAAACGTCGTCGAATCAAATAGCGAAGGCGACGAAGGTGCAGAGATTGGGGACAGCTGGCCGTACGTAGTGGACGGCGTAAAGGCGAACGGTATGACAGTGGAATGCGAGGTTCCAGTGGGGGAGAGGAGATCGTACGAGGTCGTGGAGGACGGAGGGGCTGCGTACCCGACAGGGGACTCCCACCCGGACCGAGCGGCTAGCGTCACGTGCACCTCCCGTGCATCGTCTGGACGTTGGACAGCCTCATCTCGGTCCACATCCTCCATTGTAACCTCTCGAACGATGTGGGCACTTGGCAGCGACGCCACGGACCGAGGGACCTGTTTATTCGAAGCAGCCAAAGCAGCAGCAGCATACCTTTCCACGAGGGTTTGGGCTACACTGGTGGTAGGAAGAACGTCGTTGGGGGGGGGGTCGGTGGCTACCGGTCGATCATCCCCCCGTGTTTGTAGTTGTGTAGTAAGGGGAAGTGGTTGAATAATCACCGGCATAGGGGGGGGGGCATGCTCCATGGCTACGAGTTTGGCCTCCAAGTCGTCGCAAATGCGTTGTAACTGCGCCTTGTTGTCGTCCGACAGCCCCACGCCGTGGACTAGAGTGTGCTGCATCGCGTCCAGTTGACGACGAAGTTGTTCCTTCTTGTCCCTATCTTGGCGGACCAACCACGCGGTCAGGTCTGTGTCCAGGGCATGACACTGCTGCTCCAGCGCTTGCCGACGCGGCCACTGCGGTGGCACCAATTGAAGCGATTTGATAATCGCACCGAGTTGGCCTCGGAGGTCTGACACTGTCTCATGGGGGACGACGGAGGTGGTGTCGGTAGTCGTCGTAGCCGCCCATACATGTTGAATGTATCGCAAGTGGCCTTGTGCCGACTCGATCACTGTATCAAACACGTGGGCGTCGTCATCTTGTTGTGATTCGTCGTCGGATTCATTGTTGTTGTCGAGAACGGCGGCAAACTCGTGACAGGCCAATTCAAACTGCAGCCGTTCGTCCTGCGATAACGGGGCATGCGCGACCAACTGGTTTAGGACCGCGAGACGGCGGCGGGCGTGGGCCACGGCATGGCTGTCGTGATGGAGCTTCAATGTCGACAGGATGTGATGCAGCGCCTGGACTTGGTGTCGGGCGTGGTCCACCATGGATTCAAGCTTGTGTTCGTGCTTGGTACGTAAAGCTAGGTCCTTTTTACGCGACGACTTTGATCGTGTTGGTGGCTGAGGAGGAGGCTGCGGCGGTCGGGGAGACGCAGGGATATACGCGCGGCGACTGGTTCGTTGAAGGTGCTGGTCGGTCAGGCGTCCGGATGACGAGGAAGTGCGAAGGGGGGGTGGGGGCACTGGGAACCCGACCACGCCGTGGCGTTCGGTGAGAGTGGACGAAAACTGAACAAGCGGGTGGTGGTGGAGGGCGGGGTTCGCGGGCGATTGCCCAAGTGTGTGTGCGGTAGTGGGCGGCCCAAACAATTGGGTTCCTCCAGCTGGCGACTGCTGGCTTTGCATGCTGATCCACTGGGCATGCAACGCCTCCTGATCTAGGTGCGATCGTTGGAAGGCCATTGACATGGCGCGACGATCAGACGACGGAAGATGATGTGCGGAATGGCTAGAGGTGGTTGAAGACGCCACACTTGCGACAGAGGACAGACTTGATTGCGATGACGATTTGTGCTCCAACTGAGGCGGCTGCGGTGGTGGCGCTCCCATGGCATAGGCGGATCCGCTGCTGGACTGGCTGCTGAAGGGGATTAGAGGAGGCGGCGGCGGTGGCGGCGGTAGGAACGTCGGAGGGGGATGCAGGGTCGGGTCGATTGCATTCGGGAGGCGGTACGGGTGGAAGTGAGGCAGCATCCGCGTTTCGTCTGCCGGCACCAAACTGACCATCCATGTGTAATATCGGTCGGTCCACCAAGTGGACATCCACACCATGTAAATGTTGAAGATGAAACTCACCAAGACAGTGACGACGATCGCGGCGGCGCTGTTCTCGGACGTTTCGTACCATGGCGGCTGGGTTTGCCACCGATCCCGATACACATATGGAGACAAGGTGGGAGTGGAATCCACTCGAAAACATGTGTACTCGCCAAGCAGCGACGTGAAAATGGCTGCAAAGTACGCTGTGAGCACAGCCTTGGTGAGCAAGAAGTACACGAACGTCCACCATACTGTGCCTAACGTGATGGACTCCACTCGAGGCACGCACAGCACAGAGTCAGTCACGTAGAGCCGATGCACCCATAGCTCGGCCTGCCACACAGCTCGGGCAACACCACTGAGGAGGTTGCGCGCCTTGCATGTGCTTGCAGCCACCAGGATGCCAACCAAGAGCACACACACGAACACGACCTGGTACGCATATGCCCACAGGCACGAGAACACTGTGTACAAGAACAGTCCCGTCCACGTGCGTTTCGTTGACTCGGCCATCGCAGTCGCTCGTCCGTGCCCGTTAACGTTATCGATTAATGAACCAGGCGGCGCAGTGGAGAATGTTGGTTGTATTTCCGGATACGGCTTAATTCAGGAAGTATTATTAGTCATTTTGATGATTTGGGGAGTTATCAAGGTCGAAGTGGTTGGGTTTGAAGGCTATAAAAAGTACCGTCAAGAAGGCAACTCGTACTTCGTCCTAGACGGAGACATCACTTGCTTTTAACACCACCAACAAGAAAGAGTAAATGGCGATAGTACGTACATTCGTGGGTTAAACTAGCCATTATTCAACCACTAACATACAATAAGGGGGTGGCAATTCCGGATAATAATACTCCGGAGTAGTACTGTACTACTACTGTAGTATGCCAGTCGCAACTGTGGAGCATTTTCTGTGAACTCCAATCGAGTAATCTATCGATGATTATGATTGATATTCCGACCTCCTTAGTATTTGTATGCTCTAATTTTGGCCAATGAATTGTCTCTATTATCTATTACTCGGAGAGTATTAATACTACGTAGTATTAATACAACCTATCATATTGTAGTAGTAAAATCTCCTACACTATTTTGACTAATCAAAGTCATTTAGGGGGTAGGTCTAGCGCAATTATCTTGAAGACACTGCTCGTTGTACTTATGTTTACACGTGAGCAAGTGGCATTGCACCTTAGTTCATGGTACCCTCACCATACCTATGAAAGACTTACCCGACGGACGCAGTAGGCCTTCATTCTAGGTGTATGTTTGAACCCTTACGCTTTCACTGTACCCTTCCTACTTAGGATTAGCTAATAGTAGAAACGTTGTCGGAATGGGGTGTTGGAATGAGTACAGTAAGCTTACATACTGAAGAACTAAGTACGTATGTACTACTAGTATACTGTAGTAGTACTAGTACTACGGAGTAACCACGTCGATAGGCGCTTGTAACCTGTTCAAAGTCTATTCGAGTCGACTGTCCTCGAAAACCCATCGTCCATCGACGGTATGACCCCCAACCATCGATTCATCCTTCAAAAGTGCCCACTGTGTGTACTGGCTGGCGCCAATCCCTCGGTCTCGTCTAGTAAGTACTAGTTATATCATACATTGTTGTCTTCAAAATGTGCAAACAACCGATGGGTCATCTCGACACCAAGAAACAAACACCCGTCGGCTGGAAAACTGCCCAAGACCGCCGAGCTCCACCCGCGGTAAAATCCCACGAGGCCATGTACCCGCCACACGTTTCGAACGGCCTTTCGGAACGTCAGCGTCGCGTCCACTTGAAGTCGTGATTTGATGACGTCGGCGGGGAACACGACGGTCCATGACGTGGCACCCGCACAGCCTCCGGACACGAGCACGGCCAACGGATGCAGCTCCCGTCTCGACTCGACGCCAAATACGTCCATGCATTTCGCCGTATAATAGTCGTACATGCCAAAGAAACAAAAGTTGAACGGGACGTCTCGTAACACGACCGCGCCGAGGCCGGCTGTGAGCCCCATCACGCCGCTTTCGCGGACGATGTTCTTCGTACATCGCCAAATGCCCATGGAACCAGCATGGGCGTACGTCTGGAGCCGGCACTTGATGACTTCGGCCGGCGTGATCGCGGCCGCGGAAAACAAGCCGGACGCAGACCCCACGAGCGCTTCGTCCAGCGTCGAGAGGGTGTCGCCGCGCTCGAAAAACAATCGTTTCAGCGCTCCGTTGGCCGTGAAGAGCACCGAGTTTTCGACGATGGCGCTGGAGAGTGCTGGGAGTGCACCTTTCCACAGCGATCGGACTCCTTCCTGCTGCACCGTGCGGGCAAAGCAGTCCATGAGGCCATTGTAGTGCGGCGTGGACGCGCCCTGTGTCTGCAGACGGACCTTGACTACGTCGAAAGGTAGGCCTGCGTACACGTTGAACACGGCACCGACGATGCCGCTGGTGGTTTCCCGCAGATCCAACGTCATCGTTTCGCTGGAAGTGCTGAAAACCACCAAACGATGTCAAACGTTTGAAACGCGTTTTTTATTTGTGGGGTCTGTCACATGTGGTTTTATTGCCACTTGATTACTACTGCTATTAATAGTAGTATTATACTTCCCCTACGTAGTATTACTACGTAGTACTACGCAGTACCCAGTTCGAAGTACCGAATTTCCTGAGACTGACCAATCAAATCATTCCGAGTCGCCAGAATTTTTTTTTTCTTTTGGCTCCTATAGTTTGGTCTCACACACCGAATAAATAGATAATAAGCGTTGGTAAAAATTTAATGTCCGGAGACAATCACTACATGTACTACATATTGTGCTTTGCACTTGTTTTGGCGTCGGCTTTACGTGACTAAAAGAGTGGTACTGCTGTAACTGTGTTACAATTTTGAATAAATACCTGGTGTTTTAGCTAATTCACTGGGGTTTTATAAATGCCATATAACTCTGAGGAATAATAATCACATGTGATGCTGAACACCTTGGCTGTTATTCCATCGAGTAGAACATGCTACCTGCATGTACTACGCGATGGAACAAGAAGATGGCGTGGTTTTCTACGATATAGCACCATACGTACTTCGCTGTACGATAGAACACCGGCGCAATGTTTCATTTGTAATATCAAAAGTTGTTCATGATGAACAGTGAATTGTGCAAGTTGGTCCCGAGAATAGCAGATATAACTTCGATTTGCACTTTTCAAATGTGCAAAAGGGTTGCATAAATGACATCCCTATAATTACATTCTGTAACGAAACGTGATCCTAAATCACTGTACGGATTATCTAACAGTAAAACACTGGGGTCGATGTAACAAATACCCATGTTTATGGTAGCCAAAACGAGTGAAAAGCACAATAGTTGCTATCGCTTTCATGGACACTGCTGACGATACTCTTGGTCAATCTACTTCGAATTGTGAGGGTCAACTGTAGATTGACCAAAAAGGCGTGCGATAGTATATAAGCGTCCCAGATACACTCACCTATATTATTTTCAATTATATTGCTCGTCCGGATAGCATAAAGCTGGAGGGTGATATTACGGCGAAAAAGTCCTATGATAGGGCTTTTCGGGGCTGATCTTATGATTGGCTTTATTTAGACCCGGATAAAGCCAACGGCTGGGAGCATAAGACCAAGACTGGTCCTATCTAAAGACTACTATTAATAGTATCCGTAAAAAGCTGAGCTATAAAACTGACAGGTGGAGATGCTCTAATATGTGTATCACCCTCGCTCAACGTGTACCCTATGGTACTGTACAGGTTGAGCTGTACATACTACTGTACAGCTTGAGAATCATGCATTAAGGTTATGGTATTCCTAGCCCGCGACTGCGGGCAGCTTTCGTCGTTGGTTGGAGCATATTTACGTTACTAAACGTCATATATTAATAATACATCATATACATACATGTACGTACCTCCTATACACACTGGGTGCGCATTATTTTCGAGCAAATGATGGATTAGGCCTCATTCATATACCGCTAAGGGAGCATTTTTGAGCAATTGCTCGAAAATAATATTTTTCCATACACACTGGGGATTCAACTTGGTTGGACTTTGAACCAGCCATTACCAAAGCCAGCAACCACAACTTCCAGTGGCGAGTTTATTACAGTAATTAGTGTAATGTACTACAGCAGAACCCTACTCTCAAACCAACTGAACAGTTGACTTCAACGATTCTACTCAAGCATCGCAGCAAAAGAGCAATTGGCCCGCGGCATCTTGAATGGGCTGCAGGTCCCGCGCGTTCGACCCGCCGGGAAGGATATCGATGAAGTGCTGCAGTTGCGCCTTGGACATGGTCCGGGGGTCCTTGACGAGAATCCACTCGACGTGATCCGTGTATGGTGGGGTCGTGAGCGAGCCTTGGTACCGGTAAAACGCTTCGTCGGTCATCGCGGACGCAATGTACAAGTCATCAAACGAGATGTTGTCCACCGTCACATCCACGCCGTGGGGGTCCAGGTCGGGCAAGACGTTCCAAAACTGTTTTAAAAACGGGCTTTCGTCATCGCCGACTTGAAAGAACACGCCGACGACGGCGATTTTGCCGTCGGTGGACTTGTGCACCAAATGCATGCAAAACGGAAAGTGGTGGCCCTGCAACGTATGTTCGGACGGCGCGTGAAAGTGGAATTGGATCGGACGGAATTCGCGGCCGTCGCGAAGCTTGAGCACCGTGGTGGCATCGCCCGACCAGTTCACTTTGAAGTTGGTGTATCCGTGCTGGAACCGACCGGGTCCGGCTCCGAGCGTGAGGTCAATGTGACCAGAGTAATCGTCCATAATGATCTCCTTCACGGCACGCGGATCGATGTCGATCGGTGATTGCTGCGCCATGTTGCCAATGTAAAAGTGGCACCTGAATCGTGGTGATTATTACCATTATTCTCTGAATCGGGACGTTTCAAACGTGTGTTTTATTCTCCATAAACATGTTGCCAATATCAACCTCCGGCGTGTTGGAGTAGTAGTGCAGGTACAAAGAGGAAGCAATATGTCCTACTTCTTGGAGCTGGTTTCGATCGAGATCAACCAAGGACGTGCCTATCGCTGTGTAGGCCAAGGCATTTTACCCTTATCCGGATACGACAAGGTTGCAGTATAAAACGTCATTGAAACATGAACATTTTGGGTGAGGTTGTCAGGAGAAACGATCCCATCGTACGTATCCTCAAATATGTCCCAACTCGATATTGGAACATCAAGATACTAGTATGCGACAAAATCTTCCCCATTGGATGTCGGAAAACCCAAATTTGGGGTTGGGACATCCACTAAATTCACCAATGGCTGACACATGTTCTTATTCCTATTAAGTGCCCTCGGAAAGTGTCTCCCTGGACTATTTTGCTCGAAATCCATTCTAAGGCGTAAATGCTCCATCGTTTACTCGATAAAAAATGCACAGATTATAATGAGAAAAATAATTTTAAATTAAATCAAATTTACTGTTAATATGTTGCTTTGTCTATCGAGAAAGCAGTACAGTCATCCCCCTATTTTTGCAGCCTGGTATAAACGAATATCCTGTGTAATCCCATCGAATATTCAATTTAACAGGCTATTGAATGATTAATACTGGGAGATACTAGGAACTCAAATGCGGTGCAAGCACCAAGTCATATCACGACAACACGAACATTGTCCATTACATAGCCATGCGAATCCTTGCAAAGTAGTTAACTCTACATACACGACGACATGTACTTGATGACCTTGCCTTTCAGGACTTGACACGACGAGTACGACCGTCGAGTAGTCACGTCGCGCGAGGAAACAGCTGAGGATAGAGTACTGTAGTTGTAGCGAGGCGCATATCACAGTTAGAAAACTTAGCGCTGCTTATAAAAGTCTCAGTGTATACCCGAGACCTTTGAGCAAAATTCTGCTTCGTGATTGGCTTCAATATCTACAATTTGATTGGCTTGTCACAGGTTCAAGTTGCTTTTGCTTTTCAAAAACCAAAAGATCCTCGCGAGGTAATTTTGCCTTTCGTGTTGAAAACACAAAAGCAAATAATTCCTATACTGTAGTAACACTGACTCTCCCTATTAGTACAAAATTCACATTGTCAGTACAAAAAATCAATCGATGGATTTGGCAAACCAGCACAAAGTCCAAATTTTGGCTGAAAGGACAATACTATGGTGCATTTCATCTAAAGACTACAGATCGGCCATCCTCAGGAGGAAACGTTTTACTATTAAACGCCTCGGTTATTTCAGTTAAACCCCCGTAATGTTGACGTTAACTTATTTTACTTACGTTTTTTTATCTGGTAAATAGGTTAAACATCCTGAATAATCCGGATACAATGGAAACGTTCATACGGATAAGTGTTACATACAAAGACCAAGATATACTTGATGCTCCTTTTCGGCCAAAATGTGCCTGGCTCCA